TCTTCTAAACTGTCAGCTGTAAATCTGTTGGACTAGATGTTTTTGGTTTCAGATTTCTGTTAATGTCAATTTTTATGTTTTGAGCCAGATTTGGTGGAAGTTTGTTAACTTTCCTAGGAGTGTGTGTGAGACACGCTTGGAAGATAGTTGTGTCCCTCATTTCTCCCCCATTCTCTAGGTCTGCTCTGAATTCTTCACACATACCTGAATTATAAAATACATTTTGCAGGGTCCCATTCAATACAGCCATTTTTATAGCTGATCTCAGCTGTGTAGTTATATCTTTTTATATACATATAAAAAACTCTAGATATTTTAGCAATTCTCAAGCTGAAAGGTAACTATAATAAAGCCAGGAAAGCATGGGAAGGTCAGAGATTAACAAGCATTTAATTTAACCCAATGCCAAATTTTAAGGAGCCCTTCTATTCTACTTTAAGTCAACTGTGTATCCCTGGTCTCAGCAAGTCAGAGAGGGAATAGTTTGTGAGATGGAAAAGTTATTTGCAATCTGTGAGCCAAATGCAGACCCAGCTGTTCAGCTTTGAGAGAAGAGTGAGTTATGAAGAAACTGGATCCTAGTGTCATTGGAGCTGAACGGCTAAGGTAAAATTGGAATCCCCTCTAATTTTTGCTGCTGTTGTCATTAGATTTGATGGAAAGAAGAATCAAATGCATCTGTTACAGGCAAAATATGTGCAACAGATGAGAGTCTCTCTCACTCTTTTTTAACATGATGGTTCTTGATGCAACGGGGAGAAAGAAGTTTTAACCACTGATTATTGTCACAACTTGGAAAGAATGGAATTGTGTTAAATTAACAAGAGATAAGATGAAAAGCATTGATCTTTGCATCGCCTATAAGAACAACCAACGAAATAGCAAGCTGATCACTATTGAAAGTAACCTTGTGGAAGATTTCTCTTTGATTTGCAAAATGAAAGATTAACTGCTGACCTCTTTAAAAAAAAAGTCTGACCATTTTCTAGAGTACTATTTCTCAACCTTAGTAACTTTAAGATGTATGACTTACATGGGCTGTTGGGAAATTCTGGGAGTTTAAGCCTACACACCTTAACGTTGCTGAGGTTGAAACACATTGTTTTAGAGCAGGGGTCTTCAAACTTGACAGCTTTAAGACTTGTGGACTTCAACTCCCAGAATTCCTCCTCCACTCATGTTAGCTCAGGAATCCTGGGAGTTGAAGTCCACAAGTTTTAAACTTGCCAAGTTTGAAGACCCTTGCTTTAGAGCAGAGGTCTCCAAACTTGGCAACTTTTAAGATTTTGGGATTTCAACTCTCAGAATTCTCCAGCCCTAGAAAAACATACAGCTCAAAGAAGCTGTAAAACTGTCTGAAGTGGAAGTGAGTGCCTGGCCCTGTGACAGAGAGACTTTCCTGCAGACAGAGATCAGATGCTACTGGCAGCTGTGAAGATAGAAAATAGCTCTTCTGAGACTCTGCCTCTATGGCTGCTTGTTCAGCACCAAGTGATGAGAAGAACAGAAAGAAGCTCCCAGCACAAACTTTTAGCCACAAAGTGGATGCCCTAGCTACTGCAGGTTACTAGAGGTTACCAGCAGGTTTCCACTGTCCAAAAATCAGACAATGAAAACCAACATTCCTCTTTACTATCAAACATACATATTCTGCTGGGAATACATTAGGTAGAAACCATGTGAAATTCTTGGTCTTAAAGGATTACATGAAGGAGAATATTTGTAGCTTAGGGTTGAAATGAATCATTGTTGCTCTCTGGGGTTTTTTGTAGACATTTTATTACCCTAACTAGGTAACATCATCAACACTGATGATGTTACCTAGTTAGGGTAATGAAACATTTGCAAGAAAATAAGCTCAAAGAGCACCAAGGACCCCTCATTACAGGGATGTTAGACTGTGAAATGAAATTTGGTTTCATTAAGTTTGGCTTTAAGCTTTCTTGGCTATTGAAGGATAGAACAACTATATTTTGATAGAGCGCCTTGACCTCTTTGCTTCTCCATCCTGAACTAGCTTGCATGAACGATGTCTCCTCCTCCCCACACAATGGATTATGTTTGATTGGGCATGTGTGTGCAAATGTAAGCGTCATAGCCTAGTGACAACAGTTGTAAGTAGAAATTCTACTTCAGAGATTCTACCCTCTTAACTTCCTCAATCAAAACCAGTTTCTTCCAAGCAAGAAATTCAGTAATCTCATTAGCAGGATATATTAATAGGAAAATAAAAATGATTCAAAAAAAAATCCAGCAAATGAGATGTTTTAGGGTGAGGATAAATAATAGAATCGTAGGGTTGAAAGATCTTGGAGGGGTTGAGTTTAACCCCTAACCAGGGCAGCAATGCTCAGGTCAAAAGCCTGTCCAAATTTGTTTAAAAGCTTCTAGTGATAGAATACCTACAACTCAGTGGTGGGATTCCATATTTTTTTTTACTACCGGTTCTGTGGGCGTGGCTTGATGGGCGTGGCAGGGGAAGGATACTGTAAAATCTCCAGTCAGAGGTGGTATTTGCCAGTTCTCCGAACTACTCAAAATTCCTGCTACCGGTTCTCCAGAACTGGTCAGAACCTGCTGAATACCACCTCTGCTACAACTCCAGAAGGCTGCTACTGTAACACTTTCAATTTCCCTTTTCTTCTTTAAGTTAGACATACCCAGTTACTTTAATAATGCTTCATATAATTTTTCCTTAGCCCCTCACCCTCTTTGTCATTCTTCTCTGCATTCTTTCCAGTTCCTCAGCATCCCTCTTGTTGTCAATGAAGATTTGATGCAGGATTTCTAACCATACAGCCTAAGCTATCCCTTCCCATGATGTCAACACAATGTTAATGTTGATGCAGTCCAACATTGCATTGGTTTCTTTGTGAACTACAACACACTACTGCAAGGGTCTTCAAACTTGGCGAGTTTAAGACTTGCGGACTTCAACTCCCAGAATCCTGAGCTAATGTGACTGGAGGAGGAATTCTGAGATTTGAAGTCCACAAGTCCTAAAGCTATCAAGTTTGAAGATCCTTGCACTACTGGCTCACACTTAATTTGTGGTCTACTAGGAGCCCAGATCCTTATCACAAGAACAACTGCTAAATTAGGTACTATTAACATAAATATGTAAATCTGTTATTTTTTCTTAAGTGCAGAACTTTACCTTTCTCCCTAGTGAACAACATTTTGCTGGCTAGCATCCATTTTTGAAATCTATCCAGATGTTTTTTTTAGCATAAAGCCCATTTTTTAAGATATTAACAATCTGTTGTAGTAGTAAGATTGTAGTGGAATCATCCTTCTCACTTTATCATGAAAATTTTTATCACTATAGTTGAGGTATAATATAGCAATAGTTTCCCTTTGGTCCACTAATAAAGTTACTCTGTCATAATTTGTTGGGCATTTTAAGAAACCCATGCTGGCTTCTAGTAATCACTTTTTACCTTTCAAAATGCAAGCAAGCCTACTGCTTGAGATTCAGCAGTTCAACCTTCTATTGTCCTTCAATATCTTGTCATCAAGTAGCAGGCCAAACATTTCCTTAGCTTTCCTCTTTTCTGCACACACCAAAGAATCCTTTTCTGGTATTTTTAGCTTCATTGCAAGCCTAGGTTTGCATGCAGATTTGGGCTATTTGTTGATATTTTGCTTCTGTTGAATATCCTTCTTACCATTTTTTTAAGCATGTCCTTTTTGTTTTTTAGTTTATGAGAACATTCTCTGCAACCACACTGGGCTCATCAAGTGTCTCCCAACTTTCTGTTTGGACCTTAATGATCTTTCCCCTTCAGCCTTCCTGAATTGTTTTTCATTTCAGGATATGGGTCTATCATGGAATCCTTCATATACTTTTCTCCTTAATAAACTCAGCTTTCATGAAATTAGTGCTCCTCACCTAGAACACCAATATCACTAGTCACTCTCTCCCAAGGTTTTTACATTTCTTCATCTTTTTTTTCCTTACTAGAAAATATTAATTCTGGTATAGCTGAGTTTCAGGAAAGGGGGCTAAAAATCTAATCTAAAAAAATGGTCTCTGCATCTATGGGTTGGTTTCAGAATGGTTGCTTGAATTCTTACCCTTTTATCCAGCTAAAGCAGTATTTGATACTGGCAAAGTGCTACTTGTCAGTATAGAACAGGAATCTGTATTATTCTGCAGAATGAATGTTGGTTATACTGAGGCTGGTGGGATTGGAAGTAGCCAATGGTTCAGATAAAACTGGATTAGATGGGTCAGTGATATACTTTGATATATGATCAGCAGTTAAAAGGCTCTACAAAAAGATGTGTTTTAAGGGCCACCTTAAAAGCTGATAATGAGATTAGGCTCACTCAATGTCACAGGGAGTTCATTCTTAAGAGCAGCTGCAGCAGCAGAGCCAGAATTTGAGTCCTCACCGGATGAACTCATAGCAATTTTAGGTAAACTTCTGAAATGATCTTATTAAGAGTGAATATTTTTCTGGATGGAGGTCTAAACTATAGAGGCCCTTCAAGATATAATGACCCTTTTGGCTTGAAATGTACTTTTGGCTGGAAATGAATTGGTAGCTTTGACACGGAAAAGAAAGCATCTGTGGAATATTTAGGAAAAAAAGTCATAGCCAAACAAAATTATTTTATTTGTGCAGGTAGAGGGTCCCCATCCCATTTGTCAATCATTAAATGCAATATTGACAATAAAGAAAACGTGTCATCAAAGACAGCACAATCTGTGGGGAAATGCAATCATACCAATGATTGATAATGCTATTATATTTTTAGCTGAGAAAAGAAGTTCTTACTTTGCTTGGTTACAAGGCTACTTCCTTCACAGGCTAACAATTGTGTCTAATCCTACGTTCTGATAATTTGCTTCCTTTAATTATGAAAAGTATACAGGGTAGTTACAATTAGCATTTGCATTAATAAATTCTTGTTACTGGGCATCGTCTTGGGAAATTCATTTTAATTACAAATATGTGATGCCATTTTGATGTATTTTTTTTCTCTCTTTGAAACCCAGCTTGGAAACCTGAGGCAATACTTCATGCAACGCTGATGTTTCCCTGGCTATAAGGGAACTATAGTGAAAGGATTTCTTCCCTCCTAGCTCAAACTGGCAATCTGCTTTAAAACCAGCTATTGATTTCTTCACAGATGGAAGCATTTCTCCAAGCTGACTTCATTTGAACTTGGACTTGGCATCAACTCAAGAAGCAATAATGAATTTGAAACCCTTTCTAGATCAGATCTTTATTCTGAGAAATTTAACTTGTACGCTGTATTGAGCTCTTCTCAATTTTTTTTTAACTGAATTCCTAGCCTTGACCTGGAGAAAAAGGTGAAATCCCCCCTTTTTCTTTTTAAACCTTTGGTAAGGAGGGAGGAATCTTCAGCCTCAAGCTAGCTAGAATAGATTTCTGAGATCCAAGAATGAAAACAAAAGTAAATATAGAAATAACATTGAGGGTTAAGCAGTATAGCTGATGCTAATGATTCTTGTACTGTTCAAGCATATCAAATGGCAAGAGATACCAGAATGTCTATTATTGACCATAAGATGTTGTTTTGCAGGTGGAAATGTAATTTCTTAATACCATTCTTAATACCACAGAATATAGCAGAATTTTAAACTGAGGACTGTTTTGGTGCCACTATTTAAATACTGCCCTTAGTATTCTTTTTGAATGAAGATTTCTCTAAGATGGCTTTTGTGGTGAGACTTTGTTTCAGTTATGGTTATCTGACTTAAATGCACTTCAGGAAATACCTTCTCCCAAAGTGCCTATCCTAACCACAAAGTAAAAACCATCTTGGCTTGCTTTGCTTATTTTTTTCTTCAGATGATTGATTCATGTGAACAAACTAGAGCCTTTATTCCCTTCAGATCTATACTCCTCTCAGATGTAGATATTGAAACTGGAACCTTGCACTGTTTCTTGAAATATTTTCTGACAAAACAACAACTGGAAAGAAAATGTAGGACATTATCCTGAGCATGAATGGAGATCCAATGTACCATTTCATCTTTGTCTCCCTCATCTAAATAATTCTTGCCTTGAAGGAGTCATGGGGCACTTGAGGTGCAGTTCTTATTGTGGTGCATTTAACAAGATGAATGGTAGCTCCCGAGGACCACTCAAATTACAGGACAATCCTTCACCTGCTCCCCCAAAGGCTGCTGGTACCTTTTGACCTAGTTGAATAGATCCATTCCTGGAAATATACATTCATCTCTTTGCCTCTCTATTACAAATAGTATTTGCCACCCCGTAGGTAAAAAAAAAAAGGCCATTATATCTGCTTCTCCTAAGACTTACATTTAGAAAATAGTTTTTTTTTCCTGTATCTTTCATTTTCCTTTTGCTTTCATCTGTTAACTTTTTGTGTGATCTGGTATGTTTCTTAACAATTTAATAAAAATTCTGTGAAACAAAAATGAGTCCTGTAATGTCAGTTACACTGAGTCTAAACACGAGGAGCTGGGGTTTAATTGATTTATTGAATTAAAAAACCAGAGGCTGAATTATTTGGCATACCAAACCTAAATCATGGTTTACAAATAATTGGGTTTACAAATTATCATACAATATGTTATTGTAATTCAGAAATCAAATTAATCATAATATGGGGAGGGTTACCATGTCTTATTAAGCCATTATCTTCAAATCTTTGACAAATCTCAATTTGCTCAATTGTGAATTTGAAGTAAATTCCAAATTACTATAAAGATGTTTATTAGAAGCAATAAACTTTGCATGCTTACTTAAGGGGACAGAACAAATCTAAATATATTTGGATTTCTCCTGCTCTATGCATCTATTGCTTTTGAGATCTACAAACATTTAAAGAAATATTAAAAGTTAAGTCAATTTCCAAGTGACTGAATGTATTGATCTTTCTGGTCTATATTTAAATAATACAGCTAGTCCTAGATTTATGACCACAGCTCGGCCAGAAACTTCTGTTGCTAAGGAAGACAACTGAGCTTTGCCCCATTTTATGACCTTTCTTGACACAGTTAAGTTAATCACTGCAGTTGTTAATTGAATCATGTCGTTAAGTGAATCTGGCTTCCTCCATTGACTTTGCTTGTCGGAAGCCGGCTGAGAAAGTTACAAATGGTGATAACATGACCCAGAGACAATGCAACTGTCATAAAACACATGCTAGTTGCCAAGTGCCCGACTTTTGATCAAAAGACCATGGAGATGCTCCAATCCTTGTAAATGTGAAGATCAGTCATAAGTCATTTTTTTAGTGCTGTTGTGACTTTGAGCAGTCACTAAATGAATGGATGTAAGTCTAGGACTACTTCTATACACAATAATTCTATGAAGAGTCTAATTATGCATAATTAACAAAATGTGGGTGGTTGTTTTTTAAAACTAAGTTTATCTCAAATTTCTCCTGGCTTAAAATAGTATTTTTCACCCACCCAGATCAGCTTGAAAATTTCCCCCCCAAATTTTTTTCCAAGAAGATCGAAATGACACCCAATGTCTAAAAACAAGATTGGAAAGAATTACAGCCTACACACTGGAGTAAAGGCTTCTCAATCTTGGTATGAGGTTTATATCTGCAAAATGTCATTCAAATTGCCAGCTTTCAATTAACTACTGTACTTAACATACTTGGAAATCAACTACACTAATTTTTCAGTTGAACCCTCCATAAAGATGTTTTATCTATTACCTGGGAACTACAGTAATCCAATTTACAATATGTACACTTCTGAAAACCATAACCAATGTCAATGTTTTATTTTACATTATAACATATATTTAATGTTTGACAAGGTTGGAAATGAGTGCTGATAAAAAAAATCTGATTTATAGACCTGAAAAAGCTAAATAAGGTTGGTAAAATCTTCTGCTATGGAATTAATATATATTTTAGGTGAAGGGGCCGATTTCATGCTATAGCTGATGCAGGTTTTTAACATTTTTGAAATCCAATTCAAATTGTACTGATCTCATTTCTCAGTTATTTAGCTTTCTCACAATATTCTACAAATCTCTCTTCTCAAGATCTCAATCTTCTAGTTTAGGAAGAACCCGTATTTCCAAACACATCAAGAATATCTCCCTTTGAATCATTCTTCAACACTTGGACAAATAACTGGCCACTACTGTGTAGCCAACTACAGTTCTTTGGGAGAACTTCAACTCAACTTTAACATTCTTAAAATCATTTTGAAGCTGAATCAATTGCAATCAAATACAATATTACATATCCAATTATTTTGGGATGTTCTGGGTAGTACTTTTAAGCTTGCTGCCTGTAAATTGAAGGTAATGAACTAAGATGAAAAGCTATATGGACTTACTAACACATATAAATGACTGAAATGTACTTGAATATTAGTAGTTCAGGTTGGTAGCTGGGGTGTTGGTTTGAGCTCCAAATTTGGCAATTTGGTTGCAAACGTTTCATCACCATTCAAGGAGACACTGTCAGTGTGCTTTGAATTGTGCTTGTCTATCCAAGCACTGGCTTTTAAATACCTTTTTATGTGATGCATTCACCAGTTTGCATCACATAAAATAGTATTTAAAGGCCAGTGCTCGGACAGAGGAGCACAATTCAAAGCGTACTGATGATGCCTCCTCGAATGGTGACAAAATGTTTGCAACCAAATTGTCAAGCTCAGACCAACAGTCCCACATATGACTTCCTACCCACAAAATACTCGCTTTATTCAATATGTCTATAAAACAGATAGTTTACTAGACACTGTTTCTCATTTGGCCTGACTTGGGAAGGTATATTTATCATTTTCAAAACAAGCCAGGATATAAATGAAACTTTAGATAACTCTTATTTGTACCAGCTTTCCATAACTTCCCAAATGGGAAATACTGCTAATGTAGTAGCCTTTTTGCTCAAGGAGGGAAGAATTCTGTATCAGGGTGAATAGTTTGTTCACCATCAAACATATTAATTCAAAATATGATAATCTGAATATAAGATGTAAAGGTAAAGATTTCCCCTGTCCTGTCATGTCCAAATCTAAGGGGCGGTGCTCATCTTTGTTTTCTTAGCCAAGGGAAGAAAGATATTTTTCATGGTCATGTGGCCAGCATGACTATATGCTAAGGGGAGAACAGAACGCTTACATTCCTATTGAAGTGTTATCTACTCACATTTGCATGCTGTTAGGTGGGCAGGAGTTGGAGCAAGTAAAGGGAGCTCACCTCGTTGCATGGCTTTGAACCCAGTCTGCCAGTTGACAAACCCAACATTTTTAACCACTGAACCTTAAAATCTGAATATACTAGAACTCTAAAACTAAAAATCATGACATTTGCCAAAAGGCCCAAGAGCTATTCCTGGAGCACAGATGGCCACAAGATTGAACAGGTCTCCTGCCTGAAATACATGAGGGTAGCCCTTAATTCTGGTGGCAGTAGGAAAATTCACAGGGATTACACTGCTGAAAATGCACAGAGAAGCACATCTGCCATCCTGAAGACAAGGGGTGGCCCCTGTATATCTGCAGCACTCAAATTATTTGAAGCTAAGCCAATAGCTTTTTGGTTCTTTAGAACTTGCATAACACAAAGTTCTAAAAACAGCCCTTCAGGTCCCAAATTGTGCTTGTCTCTAATGATACCCTGCAACCAGAAAGAGGCTTCAGGAAAGTGGAGGCTAGAGGGTAGATGACCATATTCACCTATTGGCCCAGACTATTATTCCCCCCTCTTGCTTCATTAAGAGGAGTAATGATTTTCAATCTACATGGAAGGAAGCAATCTCACCCCTGGACTTCTTTCCAACCTGGGACATGGTCAGACCAAAGTACTCATTAAACTGTGCCGCAAGCACAGAGTGCCAGTTGTACTGCACCAGGACTCTAACCTTTATTGCCAATGAATGCAACAGGTATTCTGCTTCCTCTATACTAGTTAGCATACCAAACTAATATTCAACTCCCTAATCACAAGAGGATCTCTATTCTTGTCATGCCATCCCCTCAGCTGTCCTTGAAGCTGATACAGGGAAATTTCCTACCCAGAGAAACAATGCCCTGTGACTCTGGACACACAGATACAACAGAACATATGTTTCTCCAGTGCCTGCACTATGGAAACATTTGTTGTAACCTCCTCTTCCCATTACAGCATAAATGCCCAAGGCACTCAGAACAGTTCCATATCTCCTTGCTGCTTTCAAATACCAGCCTTGCTCCAACATACAGGGTTGCTAGCATCTGCACAGCAGCATTTAAAATTCATCAGATGATCTATCCCTTAAACTAGACTTAATGAACACCTAGTACATCATATTAGAGTGCTCTGATTTGATAGTCTTGATAGTCTTTGATATACTAACTTTTTATGCTCCCCTATAACCTCTAAAGCTCTCACCCCTTTTATGTATGCTTTCTGTTTTATTATCTTCTAGTTTTCCCTTTTTTGTATTTTTTTTAGCCTCCAGTATGCTTTTTAATTGAATGTACTCCATCCTCCTTATGCTGGTTTTGATTGTAATAAAGATTTGATTTGAGCTGAGTGCCCTCAGTACTATATCTCAGTCATGGCCTTTTCTCTGGAATATGAGACAAGGGGCCAGTGCATTTTTAATGTTTCTCATTACAATAAAAATGAAACAAAAATTAAAGCACACTTTTTTGTAGCCAATGGCAACTGAAAGATGTAAGAGAGAAGTTAATTCAATTTTGTTGCTGCTGTTGCTGAGCCCTCAGAGACATACATTTTAAGGAGAAGCTATACATTAAGTAACAATAGCACAAAATGTTTCTGCAGTGTATAGGACATAATAAATAGACATAATAAATAGATTGATACTGCAGTTGTGTTATATATACTGTATATATTTAAAATGCACAAAGCAACTCTTAAAAATCAGGTTGAGCT